TAGTGCTGTTTGACTGTAGAATGTACTACCATGAGTAGTTCTCATTTCATCTATGGGACTGATCTAATAAGAAGCATTGCATTTGGACAAAATGTTCACAGAAATTTAGAGACAAGGACCCCAGAAGTTTGATGCAATTGCAGATATTTTTTGTCATAAAATAAACTTGATTTTTCTAAATAAATCAAAGGTTTTCAGCATATTAATTCTTACTAGAAATATTTTGCATAATTTTTCATAATAAAGGTTCTATTTCAATTCTTAGTTTTTATTTAAATGCTGCAGTTATAGATAAACTACACATACCTATTTAAAAACTTGCTTAATAAGAGAAGTCCCTCACAGAGAAGTTTTCATGACAATATCTGTTTTATTAATCCAGCTGTAGGAATAGGGTTTAAGAGGGCAAATGCTTTTCACCAGGTATAATAGTGCAGTGAATACAGAATTATTATGCTGCTCTCTCTTTGGTAGGAAGTTGTCAATTTCTCCCTTTTCCTATGGACTGTTCTCTTTACTCTGATTAGGTTAAGAGAAGAAACTGCGACTACAAATCTTAATAGGTTTCTGTACGAGAGATGTGGGAACTTGTCTTGTGATGACATTCTTGTTCCCTTGTTTGCATTTTTAATGACTAGTTTTTCTTATCTTAGGGCAGGTCTACACTTAAAACGTTACATTGGTGTAGCTGTGCCGCTGTAGCGCTTAAGTGAAGACACTCCTATGCTGATCAGCATAGTTAATCAACCTCTCCGAGAGGCAATAGCTATGTCGATGGTAGAAGCTCTCCCGTTGACGTAGCGCTGCCTACACAGGAGGTTAAGATCGGTATAACTACATGCTCATTGGGTTATACGACATAGTTATACCGACATAGGTCTGTAGTGTATACTTGGCCTTAGTGTAACAAGAATCTTAGTATAATATCTCGGAATGCTACTTTCCTGCCCTTAGTTGTGAAAGAGGTATAGTAATACTAGATCACATCTTACCTGAAAAATGTGCTCTACAAGCTGACCAGGTAAAGTAGTCCAGATGTGACTAACAGTAGCTAGTGGATCCTCTTTGTTCTATGCTCTAGATCAGGCTAATCTCAAATTTAAGGTCATTTTAGAGAAGATTAGAAATTAAAACTATCCTAATTGTAGTTGAATATATTCCAGGGTGCATGAACTCAAGGAACAGAAGGTTGCTTGCAGTCTCATTGATATTGCAGTGCAGTAAGTTTTATCAGCGACCCCTTATATATCATCCACTAGGTCAGTGGTTCTCAACTAGGGGTACGCAGAGGTCTTCCAGGGGGTACTCAACTCATCTAGATATTTGCCTAGTTTTACAACATGCTACATAAAAATCACTAGTGAAGTCAGTACAAACTAAAATTTCATACCGACAATGACTTGTTTATACTGTTCTATATACTATACACTGAAATGTAAGTACAATATTTATATTCCAGTTGGTTTATTGTATAATTATATGGTAGAAATGAGAATAAGCAATTTTTCAGTACTACTGTGCTGTGTCACTTTTGTATTTTTGTCTGATTTTGTAAGTAAGTAGTTTTTAAGTGAGGTGAAAGTTGGGGCTACACAAGACAGATTGGACTCCTGAAAGGGGTGCAGTTGTCTGGAAAGGTTGAGAACCACTGCAGTAGATAACTAGTCAGAATACTTGCTACCACAGGCTTTGGGATAGCCGAAGTCTCTAGAAAATCCTTAGCATATAGCTGTTTTGAGGAGTAGACTAGAGACGCAAAAGATTGTGTTAATGCTCCATTCAGATGAATGGAGGAGTGTTGAATGGGGTGCTGTGGGGCACTTGTCAGTATTTTCATCAGTGACTGGGATGATGATGATATGCAGAGTATGATAGTCAGTCTTGCAGATAGTGCTAAGCTGAGGAGATGAGGTTTAAATGCAGTACAGTCTTCAAAAATAAAACAAATGGGCTGAAATCAGTACACTGAGATTCTGTAAAGGTAAGATAAAGAAGTGCACATAAAGAAGAGATATTCAAATGCGCAAATATAGAATGAAGAAATAATGGGAAGGTAGTAGTACAGTGCCAGAGAGAGGAAGATCAAGGTGTTATAATGTGTGATAAATCAAGAGAGCTAGCGATGTGACGCTTTTGCAAAAAAACCCACCCCGGCTGTGATAGTCATGTTGCTAAAGTGCAATATAACATGCAGAGTAACTACCCTGGTGTACTCCATATTGGTTAAACCTCACTTGGAGTACTGTGTTCACATTTGGGCACTATACTTTAAAGGATGATATTCAGAGGATAGCAACAAAAATTATTAAGCTATACAAATATGTAAAGGAACATTAAAATTAGCACAGGGATTAATTATTCTTGGGTGTTAGTCTCAGCAAACAAATACTAGGCTTAAACTGCAGTAAAGAAATTCTAGGTTAGAGATGATGTTTTAAAATTAATTTGGGGGTTAATCTGTAGAATTTACCTTACAACTTCAAGGATATCAGATTTTTCTATGCTTTCTAGTGGGAAAGTAGATTCTCACAGTCCAACTTGATATAATGAAACAGGCCCCCCTGCTGTGAAATAATAATTTTCACAGCAGCTTCATTCTTTGAATAGAAATGAAATAGTGAAAGGGTATTTCTAAAAACTGTTTAGAGATTATTTTTTTTAAATGTGCATGATGTGTCACGCTGTATCTATTTTAGGTACTTATATGGCTCCCATGACTTTAGTATATGAGTGTCTTTAATACATCCCGGTGAGGTAAATTTTATTCCCATTTTACAGATGGGGAAATTGAGGCCTGGAGACACTAAGTGACTTTTCCAACGTCACACAGGAAGTTTGTGGCAGACTAGGGAATTGAGCCCAGGTCTTCCAAGTCCCAGGTTAGAGCCCTAACTGCTGTAGCATTTTCTCTCTGTTCCAGTCTTTTAACTCAGAGTGCCCTTTCTGCCTTAACACACCTTGTCTTGGACACTCTTGGAAATTATAGTTGTAAGTTCCAGCTTCTTATTTACGATCAACACTAAACATTTACTACTGTGGTTCTCCGGGTAACACGCTCCTTACAGCAGTATGTTTCCCAAAATGGAGACTGAAAACCTTATTCATCACATAAGCAGGCTTTTTCATGATGACTGTACCTTTGGCGCTGCAGCGGAGTGGAGGATATTGTGAATTACACTGGTGTGAGGTCTGGAATTTGCTAGTTTAAGTCCTGGGCCAGCATCAAAATAGCAAAGCTGGTCTAAAAGACCAGTGATATTTATCCTGTCCAACATCTTGTAAAGCTTTATAGTTAGTAGCAGAAAGCATGATGTCCCCGTTCACTGTTTTGGTCATCAGCTCCTTTGTGTTTATATTTCCAGGATTTATACCTCTCTCTTTATGCAGCTTGAGTAGCTGATGTTTCTTTAGCCCTTTCTAAGCCCACAAGATCTTAAGAAACAAGAAAACTTCTGCCCTCCTTGTTCCGGTGGCAGTTAAAATGCGGTGTGTGTAGGATTTCTTTTTCTTAAATGCTACTGAACGTTCTGAAACTGCCGTAGATCTGTTCAGGTGCTTAATCAAATGCCTATTGACGTCAATGAGCTTTGGATCAGGCCCTTAGTTTTTTTTTATGTCCAGTCTCCTGCTACTAGACATGGTTCACCCTGATCCAATGCATCCTTACATTAGACAGGTAGTCCAGCACTGACTTCACCTTTCTTTGTTAGCTTCTTCCTGAACAAAGCAAGGTGGAAATGCCCTTAACAGATGGTGATGTGGTTAGTGCTTTAAACAATGCCAAATGCCATATATTGATTCTTTCTGCAAAATAACTTCTAATGCAAGGTAAACTCATACAGAAATTATATAGACTTCAAACAAAAACTGTTACCATCTGCTCTGAGAAATAGTGTACCACAAACAAAGCTCTTTGTTACTTAGGACAGAAAATATTCATATCTCTATGTTTGAGAAACCACGGGCCTCATTCTCCTTTCACTTACACTGATGTAACTCCATTGACTAGTGGAGTTACTGCTTATTTACATTGTGTAAATGAGAGGAGAATCGGGCTCTGTGTCTCTTAAACAACCATATCTCCTCATTGCCTATTAGATACAGCCCTATCTGCTGCTGTCAGAACAGAGTCTCCAGACCTGATTTTCAGCCTCACAGACAAACCAGGCCTGCCTTTGAAGCTGGCTGATTTCTACCTCCCCCTACTCCTCAGGGAAAAGTTCCCTTTACATATTCATATCCTTGCTCAACTGCTTCCTTCAGAAATATACAACTCCAATTAAACCTCCACCCAAAACCAGACGCTTCAAATCAAAGAAATGAAACTCTGGCCTCTGATGTATTGGCTAAGAAGAGTTGATTTTTCATAAAGCTGTTAGCTATAGCCCCGTATAAACTACAAAAATAACCACATGAACACAGTTTTGTGAACCATGGGTATGATCCAGTGATGTTATATTGACTCCAAGAGCTGTAGCAGCTGTAAGAAGAATATCATGTGACTCGTGATAAAATCAAGGAGTTTGCAGCACGGTTGTTTGAACCTTGATAGGTACCTAAGCTAAATTAGTGTTCCTTAACATGGTTATAATGTTTTTCTGCCAAGAAAAATTGTTTTTATGACAGACTTTTTAAGAAAACCTCAAACTGTTGTCCTACCATCGGTGCAGCTCCGCTAGTGCTAGCAATGAAAGGAATGCTAGTGAAGCCAGAACAACTTTTTCCTATGTGTCATCTGATCTTGCGTCCAGCAAGTTGAAATCAAAGTGTTAAAAATACCTATGTCCAGTCTGTACTACTGCTTCCATGTTGCTGGCACTAGAGAAGCACCTAGGGGCTAGACCAAATGTGGCTGAACTGCTAAAAATTCTCAGTGTAAACTAGGGCAATGAGTTCCCCTCCTGTTGATCAACTAGAGCGCTTTAGTCTTAACAGAAGCAACTAGAAAACATTAAAGTTTTCTGTCTCTTTATAATTATCCAACAGATCCCTTGGTAGAATTCATTTGGGCAAATTTTGGCAGGCACATCTTAGATACGGAGAAGATTTATGTTGCATAAAACTGGTGCAGCAAGATCACCCTTTCACAGTTACAGGTACGCAAATAAACCTCCTTACCAGTTTCTATCACAGTAGAGACCCTTATTTGAAAAGATTCATTTAGTTTTCATAGGTATAATCACTGAAGCTTTCAGTTGAAATGGTAAATTCAGATTCCTAAATAGTTATTGTTTCCAGTATATTTAAAAACATATATTTTTGCTCTTTTGTGACATTTTTATTGAGACTAAGTTATTTAAAGCCGTATACTTCCTGTCTAGAATACCTTTAGCTGCTGGGGATGTGAGATAAATGATCATGCATTTAATCCCTTTGGTTACTGAAAAAGTATTACTTCAGTACCACATCTGGCAGTTCTTTAAATAGTGTCAATGAATTGGTATAGCTTCTATGAAACTCGCACAACCACAGTGTCTCTTAAATATTTTTAATTAAAAAAAACTGAAGTGAAAGGAAATGATACAATTATACCTGAGATCATGTTTATATTTTTAAGTATAACCTAGATTTGCAAATCTTTCAAGAAGTCAGATTCTTTTTCTGTCTCTGTCTCTCTCTGGGTTATGTTATGCATGAGGTCAGATTAGGTGACCATAAATTCCAAGGCAAGATGGGAACGTTCTGATTCTCTAATTTCAGAAAGTGTATATGTACTTCAGAAAGTTAAATGTTGGCAGATTTCAAGTAGTGGCAGTGGTAATATTATCTAACAATTAAGGCCCTGACCTTGCAGAATTTACTCACGTGTTTAACATTATTACCATGAGTAGTCCCACTGAAATCAATGGGATTAATACTTGGTAGTAAAATTAAGCATGGACCTATTTTGCAGAATCAGGGTCTAAGGGAGTTCACAGCTATTCATAGGATCAGACCAAGTCAATGAGGACCCTTTCAGTTAAAATGCACATCCTGTGTAATGCAGGTTGATATTGGGATCCAGCATTGAGTTTTCAGATCAGCAGATGCATTAATTTCTCACCTAGACAATAAATGAAGTTTCTCTGACAACATGATTTGTTAAGTCCTAAATATTTCTGTATTTCTGACTACTTTTTCTTTAACACCCATCTCGAGTATCTGAGATGCTGGACAGGTTTTAACAATTAAACTGAAAACTAGGCACAGCATACATTCTGTCTCTAGAAACTCAGCAATTTGACTTTTGATGAACACACAGTCCCTCTCTCCTCTGTATCAGGATGGAAAAATGCACTCTTCCATTATTTTTTTTGTTTTTTTGCAGCACCTTCCAAATAGACGAGTAATCCTAATATTTAGAAGTAGATGCAGAAAGTTAACCACTTGTAGAGGACTATTAAATGCAAGGTAGAAGGGACTGTTAAAATCTCTTTGCTGAAAGGTGGATTTTTATATTGAAGGATGGCAATGGCTCTTTAGGAGCACTTATGGTTTGTGTACATATGTATTTTGGCATCATGTAACATTTTTTTGACTTGTCTCTGGATTTAAAAACACACCTGGCATGTTAGACTTTGAAAAGCAGCTACTGTACACATGCAATAACTTTTTGAAAATATTAAGTCATTAAACCAAATTGATTGCTCTCTTGCCAAGATTTTCTTATCTCAATTTTTAGCTAATATTAAAAAAAAAAAAAAAAAAATAACTTGAGTCAATAAAACTATTCTCTTATTTTTTTAAAAAATCACTGACTTTAAAATCTTAACATTAGGGCTGTCAAGCAATTAAAAAAATTAATCGCAATTAATCGCACTGTTAAGCAGTAATAGAATACCATTTATTTAAATATTTATGGATGTTTTCTACATTTTCAAATATATTGATTTCAATTTCAATACAGAACATAAAGTGTACAGTGCTCACTTTATATTTATTTTTGATTACAACTATTTGCACTGTAAAAAAACACACACAAAAGAAATAGTATTTTTCAGTTCACCTAATACAAGTACACCTCTACCCGATATAACGCTGTCCTTGGGAGCCAAAAAATCTTACCACGTTATAGGTGAAACCGCGTTATAACGAACTTGTTTTGATCCGCCGGAGCACGCAGCCCCGCCCCCCCGGAGCGCTGCTTTACTGCGTTATATCCGAATTCGTGTTATATCGGGTCGTGTTATATCGGGGTAGAGGTGTACTGTAGTGCAGTCTCTTTATCATGAAAGTTGAACTTACAAATGTAGGATTATGTACAAAAAACTGCATTCAAAAATAAAACAATGTAAAATTTTAGAGTCTGCAAGTGCACCCAGTCCTACTTCTTGTTCAGCCAATTGCTCAGACAAACAAGTTTGTTTACATATGCAGGAGATAATGCTGCCTGCTTCTTGTTTACAATGTCACCTGAAAGTGAGAACAGGCATTCTCATGGCACTATTATAGCCGACGTCACAAGATATTTAAGTGCCAGATGTGCTAAAGATTCATATATCCCTTCATGCTTCAACCACCATTCCGGGGACGTGTGTCCAAGCTGATGACTGGTTCTGCTCGATAACAATTCACAGCAGTGCGGACCGATACATGTTCATTTTCATTATCTGAGTCAGATGCCACCAGCAGAAGGTTGATTTTCTTTTTTGGTGGTTCGGGTTCTGCAGTTTCCGCATCGGAGTGTTGCTCTTTTAAGACTTCTGAAAGCATGCTCCACACCTCATCCCTCTCAGATTTTGGAAGGCACTTCAGATTCTTAAGCCTTGAGTCCAGTCCTGTGGCTATCTTTAGAAATCTCACATTGGTACCTTCTTTGCGTTTTGTGAAATCTGCAGTGTGTGGGTTTTTAAAATGAACATGTGCTGGGTCATCATCCGAGACGGCTATAACATGAAATATATGGCAGAATGTGGGTAAAACAGAGCAGGGGACATACAATTTCCCCCCAAGGAGTTCAGTCACAAATTTAATTAATGCATTATTTTTTTAACGAGCGTCATCAGCATGGAAGCATGTCCTCTGGAGTGGTGGCCGAAGCATGAAGGGGCAAAGGAATGTTTAGCATATCTAGCACATAAATACTTTACAAATCCAGCTACAAAAATGCCATGCAAATATGCCTGTTCTCACTTTCTGGTGACATTGTAAATAAGAAGAGGGCAGCATTTTCTCCTGTAAATGTAAACAAACTTGTTTGTCTTAGCAATTGGCTAAACAACAAGTAGGACTGGGTGAACTTGTAGGCTCTGAAGTTTTACATTGTTTTGGTTTTGAGTACAGTTATGTAACAAAAAAAAAATCCACATTTGTAAATTGCACTTTCACGACAGAGATTGCACTACAGTACTTGTATGAGGTGAATTGAAAGATCCTATTTCTATTGTTTATCATTTTTACAGTGCAAATATTTGTAATAAAAAATAATATACACTGATTTAAATTACAACACAGAATACAATGTATATGAAAATGTAGAAGAGCATCCAAAATATTTAATAAATTTCAATTGGTATTCTATTGTTTAACAGTGCAATTAAAACCGATTAATCGTAATTAATTTTTTTGAGTTAACTGCGATTAATCGACAACCCTACTTAAAATATATATTTCCAGACTAAGATATTGACTTTTAATGGGAAACTGTAATATAGATCCTTTTTAAAAGGGCGATAAAATCCTAGAAATAGTGGTTTATAATGGAAGCCAGATAAACGTGCTGTAGTTCAGAATCTACCAGATACCTTAGCAGTTGTTTTGATATTGTTTTATCTGCACTAGAATACATGTTCTTTATGGGGAAAAAAGGACTCCATTCTATTGGGGAATTTATTCCTACTCAAGGGTTTGTTAGTGACAGTCATCCTCACCAGATGGTCGATGTCAATATGCACCAAACATAGCAATCATGTATACAACGGACCTCGCTACATTTTGGCAAAAGTGACCCATTTCAACAAAGTGTGAGAAAAATCATTTTCTTCTGAATGTTAGAAATCTCCCAATGTAGCTTTCTGTAGGAAGATTTTTCCAGTTTGATATTGAAGAAGAAGGTATAAATACAGAAAAGAAAAGATTCGGAAATTGTAACAAATGGTCTAGGGAAAAAATTGCCTACCACATAGGATGTATTTGTGTTGCTATGGCTGAATGTAGTTTGCTTGTTAATACCATGTGTTCAGTTACACGTAATTTATAGGGCAACGTATATGATCATCAGTCTTTTGGATGAGATGTGAAACTGGGGAGCTGTTCTCTTGTGGTAATTAAAAATCTCATGCATTTTTATGTAAGTGTTGTTAAAGCTGTTAACATTGGAACATGGTCAGATTTCAGTTTGAGTAAGAAAGTTCTACAGAGTTAAATTCCCCTGCTGTTTCAGTTGGATATGATCCTCACTTCCTATTTTATTATTATTAATCATGTTCATTATGGTAGTGCATAAAGACCAACTGCATTGGGCCCCATTGTGCTAGGTACTGTACAGACACGGAGTACTGTAGTAGACAGCCCCTGCCCTGAAGAGCTTACAATCTAAACAGACAAGACAGGCACCGCGTGAAGGAAATGGGTGTTAACATGAAAGCAGAGTGAACAATGTGATGGTAGCTAACATCTTTTGGGGAAATGTTAAAAAAAATTTTTTGGTGGGTTTAGTTAGGAGGGGATAACATAAATGGAAAGGAAAAAGGGGAGAGGGGACATCAAGGGGGTGAAGGGGATAAGAGGGGCAGGTGGTGGAGTAAAGCTTAAGGTGAAGAGACAGTGAAGGAGAGGGCTGGAGCAAACAGCCAATCAGCACAGGGCAGAGAAAGTCCCGTCAGAACTATACAAAGTTCTCTGAATGCCCAAACATTTGGCTGCTGCTCCAGCTGGAGTCTCTGGCTGCTTTTTCTCTGCAGGTTTTCCCCAAGACCAGGTGTGGAGGGGAGGCACCACCTGGGCAGTAGTTTCCTCAGAGTGTGGCGGAATCTCACAGTTGTGCATCTGAGGGGATGCCAGGGGGAGGAGTGGCCCTGGCTGGCCCATTTAACCCACTTCTCTCCCAGTGCTGCAGTCCCTGGTTTGGCTGCTTCTGCAGCTGCTCCTACCTAACTGCTGTGCTGTGTTTTGTTAAATAGTTGAAGCGTTTCTCCCCAGCAGTGGATGCATTGCAGTGGTGGGTTAAGGGATTCCTATGTATAATTTATAAGTCTTCTGATAAAGTCTGAAAAGCCTTTGGGCTCCTTCTGGACAAGAAGTTCTCTATAAACGTTAGATTATCTCTAAAACACAGTTTTATATTTATTGACTTTCTTTTTGGTTTTCAGCTCCCTTTCTGCAGCCTGGAATCTTCTACATGCTTCTCATACCGTTATGTAGAAGGAGCTTTCTGAGTTTCATTTGTAAAGCAGAAGACGACTATTTTTGATTCTTTTTCACATTCAAGTATGGACATTATAATCTATGATGATTACTCCAATCCACCGCTTCAGAGATATTGAGAGGAAACCTGAATACCTCCAGCCAGACAAGTGTGTTCCACCTCCTAGCCATAGTTCCTTGGGAACAATGTGGTTTATTCGAGATGGCTGTGGTATTGCATGTGCTGTTGTTACCTGGATGCTTGTCTTCTATGCAGACTTTGTAGTCCTTCTTGTTATGTTAGTTCCATCAAGAGACTATATTTATAGTGTGATCAATGGGATATTGTTCAACATGTTGGCTTTCCTGGCTTTGGCTTCACATTTTCGAGCTATGCTATCAGATCCGGTAAGTATACTGTTACGTTTTTCTTGCCTGCCAGATATAGAGTAACTTGGGCCCTTGGTGAATAGCAGATTTAAATAACTTGTCTGTGTCATCGTGATCAGTAAGCTTGGTGTTGTGGTATGCTAATATATCATTCTGTTGTGTCAGATTAACTCACCAAATGTAAAGGACCGAATCTCAGATTCTCTTGAGCCTGGTATGAACAGCTTCCTATTAGTGTGAAAAGGGGAAGAGAGAGAGAGACTACCACCCTTTTACTCACCAGTTCTAGATATGTTGTTTGTGGCTTGTCATGACCTGACAAGCCGGAAAGCTAGAAAAACTTGTTTCAATTGTCTGTCTCATCAAATGTCACTACAGCGGAATGGGGTAGGGAAAAAATTACGATGACTTCTGTAATAAAAATGTTATGCTTCTTTTTCATATTAATGATTTAGCTGAAATTATTGGATTATACCTACTAATTTGTTTGTCTGTTTTAGCATTAAATCCCCCTAATAATATCAGCCCATATCTCTGTGGCTTCAAAAATGTATCAGACTCTTCGTAACTGGAAGGTTAAACATTCTAAGGTTAGATTTGAAACACAAGATGGATAGTGCAGTATCCAGGGACTTTGCCCTGGTCAGAAACGCAGTCCTACCCTCCTTCCTCCTCGCATCTCTGAACTGTTGGGAAGGGGATTTTTATCAAAGTGCTATCCCTAAATCTTCTTTGATGGCCCTGTCTTTCATATCTGTCTAGTAGATTAAATTTAAAATTATTGTTCTTCTAGCTGACGGAAAGGAGAGTAAGTTTTGTCTCTTCTGCCTTCAGAGTCTAGTGGCTGGTGTTGGGAATGTTGAAAGGGTCTCTGCCACACTGATCCCTCCCCCAAGCTCCATTTTGTGGATAAAACCCCCCACCATGAAAACTCGAATGGCTGTATTTATTGCTTAGCTTGCATCTTATTCAGGAACATCAGCAGGGAACTGACCTAGTTCTGGGCAGTTTCACTGTTGTTTACTGTAAAGTTGACTCTTGGTCACTTCATAATGCTCTTGCTTGGCAAAACTATGAGCGGGAGTGGAGGTGCTCAAGGTTTCTGTCGTCAGACTCAGGAATACAGCACTGCAGCAATTTACATACAGTTCATATTTTGAAGGATTTCTTTTTTATTGTAAATTATTTGAAAGACAGTAGTGCCCCTAAGAACCAACAGGCAATGGGGTCCAATTGTGCTAGGCACTGTATAGACATAGAGTAAGAGACAGTTCTTGCCACAGAGAGTTTCCAATCTAAATAGAACAGGCAGACAAAGGGTAGGAGAAAAGGACATAATGCAGAAGTAGAGTGATAAGTAAATGTCATGTTAGTTCCACATTTATTTATATATGGTGGCTGGCGGAGGGGCTAATGGGTGTTGAGGTTTTTTGTCAATTCTTTGGTTGGGTTTTGTTATGAGCGCATCAGCTAAACAGAAAGACAAAAGAAGGGGCATAGAAGGGATATGATGAGGACAGGATAGGTGCAGTGAGGCAGAGGTGAGGAAACTGTGAAGCAGGGGGGCTAGAGCAAAGAGCCAATCACTACAGGGAAGAGCATGTCCAGTGTCAAAAATGTAGTTGAAAGCATTGTTGCTATAAAAACTCTTCCACCAAAAGTCAATTGTAATGTTACTTTCCTAACACAAGATTTATTTTAATGTAGGCTCCTGTTTATATATGTACCTCCACACTAGCAGTCATTCATGTGGTATGTTTCAGGCTTTTTTTAATTAAAATTTTTGCAGTGAAATTGTTAATATTAAGGTTAAAGATCTTTAATTTCTTGTCTTTTGAGAGTTAAGGTTCCTTCAGCAACATTAACTCAGCAATATTAAAGATGCATATTTAAGGGGAGAATTCAAAAACTGCACCATCATAGTGAATGCAAGAATGTTACCTAGTCTTATTTTTTTTCTGGGCCTTTTTTTTTTAAAGTGGTATTTGTATACTTAACATCTCTCTAAAAGTTCTCATTTAAAAAACCCTAAACAAATTGGACGTTTATGAACACATGCAAAATATATTTGTCCGCAACATTTAATGTAAGCAAAAACATTTCAGTTGTGTAACTTTTATGAGGACACATGCATATGTCCAGTTTGCTGTGACACAAGGTCAGATGATACGTCCAAGTAAACAGATAAGGATTACACCCTGCTTATTATTTATGTACTATACTATGGCCTTACAATAGTGTCCTTTCTGTATCTTTCTCTTGTTCAATCAAATTCTGAAATATTGTGGTTGATGTTAGGGAAACTTGCACCTCTCTTCCCTTCCAAGAGCTTGAACTGGGTCTCTTGATGTTATTGGCGAACACTGTGGGTACTGAAATCTTTGTTTTCATTTCCAGGGTGCTGTGCCCAAAGGTAATGCCACAAAAGAATTCATTGAGAGCTTACAGCTGAAGCCAGGACAGGTTGTTTATAAGTGTCCAAAATGCTGTAGCATCAAACCAGACAGAGCACATCACTGCAGGTACAGTCACTTGTGTGTTGTGATTTAATGATGTGATGCTGTGGTTCAGGATTAAAAGAAAGCACTTATGTGGTGGACCAGTGTACTGTTGTAGGATATAAAAAGCAACAAAGAGTCCTGTGGCACCTTAAAGACTAACAGATGTATTGGAGCATAAGCTTTCGTGGGTGAATACCCACTTCGTCAGATACATGTTGTAGGATGGGATTTTCAAGGGGGCTTAAAGGATTTATCCACCTAACTCCCATTGAACCCTAATGTGAGTTGGGTGCCTAACTCTCTTAAGCTCCTCTGAAAATCCCAGTGCTCAACGAAGACCATAAAATGTAGCATGTCCCAGAATACTTTGATATTGTGCCTTGTGACATTATGATGCTTTCTGATTGTGAGGCACTTTGCTTGGGGTCAGCTCCTTGACCCTACTGGCAACACAAGCACTCCCCTCCAGGTCTTGTGCTCTCTTTACAGGTTAGCAATAGGGACACACCAATCCCTGAGTCCTGCGAGAATCCCCTTTAGTGTCCAGCCCCTGTTTCATTGGACACTCACAGAATTACCAGGCCTGCTGTTCCCAAAGGAACAGCACACCACAGCTTACTAATTCTTACTAATACTTAGAACATAGCTCCACTTCACACACAGCCAGAGTCAGGGGTGGGCCACGAGGGCGACTGCCCAGAGTGCCATGGTGGGAGGGGGAAAGAGGGGTGCTGTGAGGCAGTGCAGAGGTGTGGGCTGCCAGCTGGCAGGGGAGCGCTGCAAACTCGCAGAGGTGACGCATGGGGGGTGCCCAGATTTCTCCCGGCAGCGGAATGTGGGGCGGGGGTGTGAGCGGTGATGCACAGATACTACTCGTCCCCTCCTCCCAACATTCCTCCGCACCCCCTTAGGAGGCTATGATCAGAGGAGTGAGGAGCAATGCCGGGACTCCCTGCATCCAGGTCACTTTCCCCACCTGGACTGTGCTGTGAGGCGAGCATCAGAAGCTGATACTCTCCTGCCCTCCCTTTACACAGCCCAAGTAAGTTCATAGAGGAGTTAGGTAAGTTCATGGAGGATAGGTCCATCAGTGGCTATTAGCTAAGATGGTCATGGATGCAACCCTATGCTCTGGGTGTCCCTAAAACTCTGGTGGCCGATGGTGGAAGGGTCCCTCGATAAATTGCTCTGTTCTGTTAACTTCTTCTGAAGCATCTAGCAACAGTCAGATTTTAAGCTGTCATAGGATAAGAGGAAAGGTCCTCTCGTGGATCGGTAACTGGTTAAAAGATAGGAAACAAAGGATAGGAATAAATGGTCAGTTCTCAGAATGGAAAGAGGTAAATAGTGGTGCCTCCCCAGGGGTCTGTACTGGGACCAGTCCTATTCAACATATTCATAAATGATCTGGATAAAGGGGTAAACAGTGAGGTGGCAAAATTTGCAGATGATACAAAACTACTCAAGGTAGTTAAGTCCCAGGCAGACTGCGAAGAGCTACAAAAGGATCTCTCAAAACTGGGTGATTGGGCAACAAAATGGCAGATGAAATTCAGTGTTGTTAAATGCAAAATAATGCACATTGGAAAACATAATCCCAACTATACATATAAAAGGATGGGGTCTAAATTAGCTGTTACCACCCAAGCAAGAGATCTTGGAGTCATTTTGGATGGTTCTCTGAAAACATCCACTCAATGTGCAGCGGCAGTCAAAAAAGCTAACAGAATGTTGGGATCATTAAGAAGGGATAGATAATAAGACAGAAAATATCATGTTGCCTCTGTATAAATCCATGGTATGCCCACATCTTGAAAACTGCATGCAGATGTGGTCGCCCCATCTCAAAAAAGGTATTGGAATTGGAAAAGGTTCAGAAAAGGGCAACAAAAATTATTAGGGGTATGGAATGGCTTCCGTATGAGGAAAGATTAATAAGACTGGGACTTTTCAGCTTGGAAAAGAGACGACTAAGGGGGGATATGATAGAGGTCTATAAAATCATGACTGGTGTGGAGAAAGTAAATAAGGAAGTGTTATTTACTCCTTCTCATAACACAAGAACTAGGGGTCGCCAAATGAAATTAATAGGCAGCAGGTTTAAAACAAACAAAAGGAAGTATTTCTTCACACACGCACAGTCAACCTGTGAAAATCATTGCCAGGGGATTTTGTGAAGGCAAGAGGATCCCTCTAACCCTTATGTACCCCCATCTGGTACAAAGAGATCTCTGGGTCACAGTCACATTTGAACAAGAATTATTCACCAGTGGTTAAAAGCAATTGAAAATGACATGTGAGTCATGCACATTACTTTCTTTGTCATTGTTTATTTGTGGACCAAATTTCTTCAAGCATGTCAGTCACTTGTCCATGACAAGTGTGAAATTTTAAAAGGCATAAAAATATCTTAATTATTTTTAAATCACTTTTTCACAGTTATGAAATATATTATTATTTAAAAGAAAGTATTTTTTCTGGGAGAGTGGTGTATAAATACAGGGAAGGCTGTTGCACACCGCTCAACGGTGAGCACATTAAAGTTATAGTTGCAGTTATAAGCAGCAAGACTGCAGAAGGTTGATATAGCTCTGATTGTATTAAATCTTACTTTGCTAGTCTGTCACTGGGTCCTCTGTTGTCAAGATAATCGGTGATATACGGTATGGGTAAGTGGGAATGAAACAGGAAGAGAAATGGGTAAAAGAGTGAACTGAGAAAAGTCCATAAAAAGTGGTATGTCTCAAAGTACTAGTGTCTTCATTCACAGACCTGATGGCATTTGTGACTTTGGCTTTAATTAGCCCTTTTTATTACTACTAAATTAATTTAAAACTTGCTTTAAATACAGGTAATTTAATTTCAGATTTAGAATCATTTCCATATTTTGATTTACAAAGGACAAACCAAAATTATGGAACCTAAATTATACCTGTTGTGGAGAGTTGGGGCTTCCCCCGCCCCCCTTACTTTGTTTCAGTAAGTAGTTAAAGGATCTGTATGAGCTTCATCATTCCCCTTCCCCCCAGTGTATTCCTAGAGGATTTCCATGAAAGGACTGCAGTTACTTTCACTCTGGGGGGTTATGCTGCCTTGTGCCGCCATCTGTCTCTTTAGATTTGGGGGAGCTATAGCTACCACCACCAACAACCCTTTTCTGCTAACTAGGGAAGTAAAATGTTAACCAGGGGTTAACGGTTAAGGTGGGTTAACCGGTAAGACTAATGCTTACTGGTTAACTGGTTAACATTTTACATCGCTAGTTCTCAGGCCATCTCCAATGCCCATTGAAGTCCATGGGAATCTTTTAAAATAAATAAATATTTCCCTGTTGTTCTGTGTGTGGGTGTCTCACAGCAGGATCATACGCATGCACAGCAGAGGGTGTTGGTTGCCATGTGCTTGAGAGTTCCTGCTGTTCACATGCTTGTATGAGGCAGTTGCACGCAACTAACTGCTCCTTCTGGCCGTGAGCTTCTGGCCCTGCTCCTGGGAAGGAAGAAGGGTGATCCCTACTAACCTTTTGGCCCTGTCTTTGCCATCTAGCCTGAAGCGTCTGAGGGTGGAGGGTCTTTGCTGCTTCCCACTCCCTGCCTTACCCTAGTCTCAGCTCTTGGAATTTACTTCAGCCCCAGCTCTTACTCTGTCCCCCCATTGGCTCCTGCAGGTGATGTCATAGCTCCAGCCCCTGGCTGCCTCCCATCCCTACTCCTTAGGACTCCTGTGTGGGTTACTGTCTCTCTCCCCTCTTGGCCTGGCTGCTCCACATCATCCCTCCGGAGGGGACTCCTTCCCTCGCCTCTCAACCCAGTGTCTCATGGCTTCCCCCCGAGTGCTGCAGAGAGTAGGTGGTAGATACCTGCTTCCCAGCTAGTCATCTTGTCTATCTCCAAGGTCTTGTGGAGCAGCCTGGGGAAAGGGCACCCGTTCCTCCTGTGGTATGCCCTCTGGCTCATAAACGGATCCAAGGGGTAATGAAGAGAACGACTTGCTCCCTCACTATGCCTCCCGGTACTCCCTAGCTGTGTGTGAATGAGTGTAGGGAAAGAAAGAGGCTTCCCTTACTCTCCTTGTGCTCTCTTGCACCCACATGGGAGTTCATTGATGAAGGTACTGCTGGGCATGCCCTGCTCCCTACCTCTTTCTGATAGTGCTCTCTTGCCCTCTGTAGAGGTTTGGGGAGTAAAGAATAGTCTTTCTTGGGCCTATAGCCAGCGGTCCAGGGAAGAGGAGAGCCTCTCTAGCCCTGGACTTATACACAGAACAGACTCTACTGCTGTGTCACTCTTGCAGAGATGGGAAGAATGTGCATGTGAGCTACCAGCAGAATAGTGCATGAGACAGGACATGAAACTGACAAACAATAAGACAGTAAAACTGATTATACCCAAAGGTGCACATGCACACATCTAATAAACTGACGGAAAAACTAATTTTGTCTATCTTAGTCACCATAGGTGGTGTGTGTCATCAAAAGGACAATTTTAAAGCAACTAATTTTATTTTTAAGTTAGGGTGCCCTTTTAAATACACATATTTTTAAATCACAATAACTTTAAGCTACTTCCTGCAATACAAAGCTTCTTGTGTTAGTGATGACTAATCTGGGGGCAAATATTGACCTGAGTAACTTTGTCTGCTTGAGGAGAAAAAATCTTAGGGCCCAATCCTGCAAAGCCTGCTGGTCCTGAGCCTGCCCAGTCTGACATCCAAGATCAAGATCTTAGTTGCTTATTTGCATCTTGGGAATTTTATTTCTTGCCTTTGGGGACTGCTTCCTTCCAAGATCTGTAATAAATACTTGACTATTTCAAAATAGGGATGTTAATATTTATTAACTTTTTTGTTGTGGTTTTATTATCAGTGCATTCTTGTAATTAGTTTCTTTAAGCGTTTGAGTTTTTTCTTTAAGGTCAAAACAGTTTAACTTTATAATAAGAAAAATATAATAAGCAGAACCCTCCATTTCTCTGTTTAAATCCTGTGAGGGTTGTTGTGAAACCACATATTCCTGATTTTTCAAATTCGGTTTTCATACTTTTTTGTGCATTTTAGCACCAGGGGACTGGCTTTCTTCACTGCTGTATCATATGATAGAAGAGCAAAAAGGCTTTTATGATGTTAGTTGGAGATTTAAAATGCCAGTGAAGCAGCAGTGACTAGTAAACGAAGAGAAACTAACATTACAATGAATTAATCATCTTTGATTGTTTGACTCCTAAGCACAGTATGCATTTGCAGCTTTTATTTTTTAGAATTTGTAATTAGAATTGTTACTTTAGTGCTTCTGCCCACTTTTGCTGAGTGCTTAAAATCTAATTTTTTAATTGTGGTGATGGTGTCTCAGTGACTCCCACTGGTAAATTAATCCAGTGCCTGATTGACTTCATTGTCAGGTATTTTTCTGAAAAAATAATTAGAATTTTCCATTTTTTTTTTAATAAAGCTCCTGTCAGAGTAAATTTAATAAATAGGAACAATTTCAGTAATTTGTTACAAAGGTTATTCTGAGAAGTTTATCCATTGCTGTATCCTATGATTTTATTTTTTATTCTACTACTTTGAAACTCTCACAGAGCCCGGAGGTCAAACCCAGACTAGATTAAATCAATTTCATTTCATTTGCTTAAGTTTAATGTTCAATCTCTGTATATTAGTGGAACCATTAATCATAATGTTACTTTGTTGTGATTTGCCATTTACTTTTGGCACGACTGCAATTAGGGACAATAGGATGGTTGACAATTTTGAACAGAAGTAGCCAAATTTGTATGTATGTGTGTGTGTTTTCCAGGTGCCCAATATTTTCTTTGTACTCTTGCTGTATTTTCTGAAAACCACACACTATAAAGATTTTTTGTTCTTTATTTCAGTGTTTGCAAGAGGTGTATTCGGAAAATGGATCATCACTGTCCATGGGTTAATAACTGTGTAGGAGAGAATAACCAGAAGTACTTTGTACTGTTTACAGTAAGTTGTTTATTGAGTAAATTTTTCTGTCCAACCAGAGACAATGAAATTCCATGACTGTTAAACGGCTGTGAAGATTATATATATATATATTTTTTAAGTAGAACCACAACTGGGAAATATATTACAAATTAGCAAAATTAAATAATTTAGGGAGCAAATGTAATAAAAGAACAGGAATAAGTCATCACCAAAGGTACTTTGCCATTTATTTTGTCAATTGTGTAGCATTAGTTGGTATAATACATAGCGTAGCAGTAAATATACCTCACAAAATACTCCACAGTAATAATAGTGAAGTCTCAATCAGCTTTTTGGGGTAGGGGCTGACTTTTTGTTCTGTATTAATATTTTATTTATACAGTACTTTGCACAATGGAGTTCAGGTCCATGACTAGGGTTTCAAGATGCTACAGTAATACAAATAATAATAAGATTGTGCCTCATTATTGCATTTGCTGTTACCTCTTTGCTGCCAGGGTGGAGAGAAACCTCATATTTTTGGCAGGGATTACAAGGGTTCTACTTGTAAGTAGCCAATGTTGGCACTCAAAAATCAGGCAGAAATGCTTCTGATTTTCTTACTGTGTACTATATCTACTGTATATAGAGCAAAAGTATGGGAGTGCAAACTTAATTACCACGTAAACAGCGAAATCTGGGCTCCATTGAAGTCAATGACAAAAATCCCAGGATTTCACCCAAAAAATTAATGTCAAGAGAATATTACAGCTTGCACAGTTGACTTTTAGTGTTGTTCCATTTTATCAGTAATCTTTTATGGTAAATCTCTAGGTAGAAGATGGTCTGTTATGATATTAGGAAATAGGTGCAAGTCTTCAGTCAGACTTGAAGTAAGAATTGAAAATAAATGTATGAACCCTTTAATTTGCTTTTCACTGTATGGTGTATTCTGCTATTGCCAGAGGCACAGCTAGTCAACTTTCTTTTTGCGGCACAATACCTAGTTTAGTTGGGAAAACAGGAAAATATTTACACCAGGTACTTTTCCACTGGACTAGTCTCTCCTCCGTCTGATTAAGCCTGTACTAGCTTTAGAGGGAGGAATGGGAAATATAAATATATCTCTCCTTTCAATATCCAGATTGGAATACAATTCCTAGCTGGTTCATCCCGAATGTGGGATGTTGGATTTCAGTTTCAGCTAAATTTGACAAGTCTCTCTTTCAAAATGGACTATATTAAACACCTAATCTGTCTGAGGAAAAGATGAAACAAGTTTTTCTATTAATGTTTTTAAGGGCTCAGGAGGAGAAAGGATGGTAGCATATAAAAGCATCAAAAGAAAAATATTTTTCCATTGTCTTTCACTTGCACCTCATTTGGAAGATATTATGTTCCCATATTTGTTAGTATTTGTCTCATTCTATACCACTACAATGAAAACCTTCCTACGTATATGTGTGTATGTTGCAAGTGGTGGGGGTAGAAATGCCTATAGGTAACAATTTAAAATTTTCCATGCTAAGTGTCTGCCTCATGTTTAAATTTATTTATTTATTTATTTATTTTATTTTTAAATTTCAATGAAAATGTTTTAGCTATTTTTCAGAATGAGATCAAGGAAAAACACATTTTGCCAATTGTAAAAATAAAACCAAAAACTTACAACTGTTACACTGAAAAGCCCTAGCACCTCCATGCTTTGGAACAGCGACTTGAAATTTGACAGTGTTGTCCTGGTATCAGGGACGTGCCGTTTGCTATCTCCCTGGAAATCCACCCAAATTTGGCCAAGCTATGAGCCTCTAAAAATCTCATTTTGCACATTATCAGTAGAGACTATATTGTGCAGTAGAGACTACAAATAGTATATGAAAGGCAACATGGCCTTGTGGGTAGATAGCTGAACTGGAATTCAGGAAACCTGGGTTCTGTTCCCAGCTCTGCTGTTGTCCTGCTGGGTGACCTTGGGCAAGTCACTGCATCTCTCTGCCTCAGTTTCCCTATCTGTGAAATAGGAATGATGATACTGACCTCCTTTGTATGACCATCCTTTCATTGATGAAAAGTGCTATATAAGGGCTAGGTGTTATTATCATATAACTAGATTGTATCAGAATGCATACACACAAGGGGGCCAAATTAAGGCTGTTTACCTTAGTTTTGGCATTTCCTAATTTTTGAGTGCTCGACTTTGCAGCCTTAACATTTTAAATGTAGTTTATTTGGACATATGTGTATAAGCAGCTTTTACAGCTATGCTTAAAAATATTTTAAATACATTGTGTTTCAGATGTATATAGCACTAATTTCCATGCATGCCCTAATCATGGTGGGATTTCACTTCCTGTATTGCTTTGAAGAAGACTGGACAAGTGAGTATTGACGAAGTATTCCTTTCAAATACCAAATTAACCTATAGAGAAAGCATTGTGATATAGTTTAAGGGAAGGGCAGCTTTTTTTACTGCTAGTTGCCAGAGAATGCTGTTAATATTATGAGCTACTTTTTATTTTTGTGACCATTCCTGGAATTTTAAAATTCCACCTATCCTGTTAGGAATTTTCTGTCATGAAGGGTTAAGTCCTACTTAAACACACACCATACATAACGTGGAGAACAGATAGACTCTTAAGGCTCCATGTCAGTACATAGGAAAAGATTAGTGTTTACATGAATGTGTCACTGATAATTCCTGCATGCTAAAGTGAGACGGGGAGAATGCATGTGCTCTTTTTAAATCAGGTAATGGAAACGATCCCTGCAAAACTGTTGAGAAAACCGATCAGCTCAGATGCAAAAATGCACTGTCACATGTTCAAACAACTTCCCCTGCCCTCCAAAAACAAAAAACACCTCATGCTGGAAAAGTCAATGAGTAGAATTTTACAAAGCTGCTTTAAACCATCAGGTTTAATCCACAGTATTAGGTAGATTGATTTATTTTTAAAAAGAGCCAGGGCTTGAGAAATCCACTTGCCAATACCAAGTAGAAAAGTTTATCTTGGGGGGGGGGTGGATGTGTGTGTGTGTGTGTTTGCGTGCAGGAGGATGTTTCAATTTTTGCAGGATTTAAGCTTTCACTTCAAAATAATTACAATTTTAGTCATTAGAACTGTGAAGAAAATCTTACAAATAGGAATTAATACATTGCAAGCCTGCAGCTCGTAACTTTGCCAGGCAGGCACAGAGTTAAACTGATAAAATTTGGAGCTGCCCAGTGTGGGCAGAAGGAGGCTGTGAAAGTGGTAAAATAAAGGAGGGTTCCTTTCCCTCTCCAAAATAATCAGGCTCTAGAGAGCTCATAATGAGCGTGCTCCTTCTCTTCTTCAGGTATGGAATCCCTGAGCAGGATTCAGGGATAGGACCCTGGTAGAAAGCAGCTGGGAGGTGCCCCTGAGCTTCTGTTGTTACTGCTGGTCCTGGACCCTATTGATGGGGTTCTCATCTTTTGTATTGGCCTCTGGGTATTAGGTGTCTGGTAAAATTTAGAATCCTTGGTCAGGGCAATATCTGCAAGTGGCTTACTTGTGGGTAGAGAACTGTTTTTAAGCAGTTCTCATTATTGGATTTCACAGAACTTTGAGAATATATTAGAATGAATTCATAAGCTAGTAATTAAATTTTGTTTGTTGTATAATTTTTCTTTTTTCTTATTTTCCCCTCACTTTCCTAGACTCATAGAAATGCAGGGCTGGATGAGACCTCAGGAGGTCATCAGGTCCAGCCCCCTGCACTGAGGAAGGACCACATAAATCTAGACCATCCCTGACAGGTGTTTGTCCAACCTGTTACAGAGCTTAATTACACTTATAATTAGAAGGTTTTTCCTAATATCTAATCTAAATCTCCTTTGCTGAAGATTAAACCCATTTCTTCTTGTTCTACCTTCAGTGGACATGGAGAACAATTGATCACATTCCTCTTTATAGTGGCCCTAGCATATTTGAAGATTATCTGGTCCCCTCTTTGTCTTCTTTTCTCAAGACTAATAGATCAGGTTTTCTAAACCTTTTACCAATTTTGTTGCTTTTCTTTTGATTCTCTCCAGTTTATCAATATCTTTCCTACACTGTAATGCCCAGAATTGGATGCACTACTACAGCTGAGGGCTCACCAGTGCCAAGTAGAGCAGGACAATGCTATTAGTCTTTTTTGCAACTGTATCACATTATTGACTCATTCAGTTTGTGATCTACTGTCACACTCAGAGCCTTTTCAGCAGTGCTACCACCTAGCCAGTTATTCCCCATTTTGTAATTGAGCATTTGATTTTTCCTCCTTAAGTTCTTTGCACTTATCTTTATTATATTTCATCTTGTTCAATTCAGAGCAATTCTCCAATTTGTTGTTTTGAATTCTAATCCAGTCCTACAAAGTGCTTGCAACCCCTCCCAGCGTGGTATCTTCCGCAAATGTTCTAAGCGTACGTTCCTCCGTTATCAAAATACTGAATAATACCAGATCCGGGACTGACCCTGCGGGACCCCACTAGATATGTCTTCCCAGTTTGATATCAAAGCATTGATAACTATTCTTTGAGTACGGTGTCTCACCCATCTTTATAGTAATTTAATCTAGACTGCATTTCCCTAGTTTGCTTATGAGAATGTCATATGGGACTATGTCAAAGACGTACTAAAATCAGGATATCATGTCTATAACTTCCCCTAATCCATTAGGCCAGTAACCCTGTCAAAGAAGGAAATTAGGTTAGTTTGGCATGACTTGTTCTTGACAAATCCATGCTGGCTATTCCTTATAACCCTGTTTAATAATTTGTACCAGTATCTTTTCAGGTATCAAAGTTAGGATGACTGGTCTATAATTCCCCCCTGGTCCTCATTGTTCCTCTTTTAAAGATAGGTGCTATGTTTGCCCTTCGCAGTTGTCTGGGACCTCCCCAACCTCCATGAGTTCTCAAAGACAATTCCAATAGTTCCAAGATTGCTTCAGCTAGTTCCTTAAGTATGCTAGGATTAATTTCACCAGGCCCTGCTGACTTGAATTCAACCAACTTATCTAAATCTTCTTTAACCGTTTCTTTCCCTACTCGGCTTGTATTCCTTCCCATTGTTGTTAGTATTACTTGTGTTCAGTATCTGCTCATCATTACCCTTTTTAGTGGAGACTGAAGCAAAATAGGCATTAAACACCTCCGCCTTCATCAGTTATTTGCTCTCCTTCCCTACTAAATAGAGGACCTATACTTTCCTTCATTTTTTTCTCTTGCTCCTAATGTATTTAAAGAACCTCCTCTTCTTTGCCTTTTATGTCCCTCACTACGGACTTATGCCTTAGACTTTCTGATTTTGTCCCTACATTCTTATGCTGTTCTTTTGTACTTCTCCTTAGCAATGGGTTCATGTTTCCTCTTTTTGTAGGATTCCTTTTTGATTTCCAGGTCATTAAACAACTTCTGATGGAGCCATATTGGCCTCTTACTATTCTTCCTGTCTTTCCTTTGGATCAGGATAGTTTGCAGTTGCACCTTTAATAATGTCTCCTTGAGAAACTTCCCGCTCTCCTGAACTACTTTTCCCCCTTTTTTTTTTTTTTCCCCCATGGGACCTTATATACCACTTCTCTGAGTTTGTTAAAGTCTGCTTTTTTGAAGTCCATTTTCCTTATTTTGCTCCTCTGACTCCTTCCTTTCCTTAGAATTATAAAACTTATCATTTCATGATCACTTTCACCCAAATTGCCTTCCACCTTCAGATTCGTTACCAATTCCTTCCTGTTAGTCAGAATTAAGCTAAAATGGTTGTCCCTCCTCCATCTTCCTCCCCCCCCCCCCCCGGTTACTTCCTCCGCTATCTGAAACAAAAAGTTGTCCCTAGTACACTCCAAGAACTTTATTGGAAATTTTGTGTTTTGCTGTATTACTTTTCCAACAGGTGTCTGGGTAGTTAAAGTCCCCCATTACTACAAGGTCTTGTGTTTTGGATATTTCTATTGTTTGTTCAGGAAATGCCTCATCGATATTTGTCTACCTGATTTGGAGGTCTATAGTAGACCCCTACTGTGACATCACTCCTATTTTTTTACCCCTTTTATCTTTACCCAGAGACTTTCTGCCCCTCATCTCCTTGTGAACCTCAGAACAGGTTTATATATTCTTGATGTATAATGCAACACCACCTCCCTGTTTCTCTTGCCGGTTCTTCCTGAACAAGCTATATCCCTCTATACCGGTATTCCAGTCATAAGACTTTCACAGCTATCCTTTTAAACCCTGCTTAACCTTGCAGGGACATTGCAGTATAGATAAACCTTATGGGGGAAAGGGGATGGGTTTGAGAGAACCAAGAATATATAACCCTTCTCAGTCTTCAAAAGTCAGTTATGAAAGGAACATGCTGTGCTTTTTATAATGGACAATTGGTGCTACAGAAGTAATCTTCTCTGGTTTCCTCTGTGTCCTCACCATTAACTTGAGGTGCCTTTTCCTAATTGACTTCATCATAGAGAAAATTAGTAAAAACTCTACAGATAGAATGTGCAAGTGGTAGGGTCCAGGTGAGAGCACTGGAGGGGGGCTTAGTTGGAAAAGAAAATTGCATGCCATACATATCACAGCACAAGTTTCTTTTTCTTCAAATTAACAGTACTAATTATCTCAGTATCCCACTTCCTTGGGAATCACATACCCTTTCTGTAGGCCTCTGATTATGGCGGTCATGTCAGTTTCTTATTTTGATAGAAGAACTTTGTTTGACGAACTGTTGAGAACTTGAGATAATCTGATACGTAATATCAATGGCAGAATTTACTGCTTAGTAACACGTGTTTGTAGTTTTACGTGTGGGCTTTGTTCCTTAGTCCCTTATTTTTGAGTATTCATTGTTTTGTCATATGTTTTCACAGAATGCAGCTCCTTCTCTCCACCAACTACAGTGATCCTTCTTATCCTCTTGTGTTTTGAGGCTCTCTTGTTTCTCATCTTCACATCTGTAATGTTTGGGACCCAGGTACACTCCATCTGCACTGATGAAACGGTGAGTTCTCCGTGGTCTTGCGTTCCCCTGCTCACAGTTGTAAGATCTGTGAAATGTCATGTGGTTCTGCTTCACTGCCCTAGCATGCATGGAGCCTTTGTTGCTGATATAAAGCAGACTAAGCCTGCACAGTGGCTGAGGTCACTCCTGGATGGCTAGCATAAGAAGTTGAGTAGTGTGGGGATGTTGCAACTATAGCAACAGTGAGTGATATTTTTATCTTAACAAGCATAAGTAACTGGGATTACTCTGCAGAGAGTTTCACCCCAGTGGAATGGGGAATCTTAGACAACAGACTCCCTGTGGAGTGTTTGCTGCTAAGAAATCATTAAAGATTCCAGTGGGTAGTACCTAATGTTACTATTTACAGCTTCAAGTGTTAAAAAGCAAAGATGAGACCAATGAGGTGGAAAAAAGAATTTTGTTTTGTAAATTTCCAGTTTAGGCTTTTCTATAATTTACTTAATCGGGAGCTCTCTGCAGCTACACAGAAATTCAGCACCCTTGCTGTGCTCCACAGCCATGAAAGCTATCCAGGATGCTAAGGCAACAATGTGGAGCTTACACAGAAACACTAGAGTCCCTTGTTCAGCACTGCATCCTGCCCTCTTCTTCAAAGGTGAAGTCCCTGACTGGTAATAGTATTTTTACCCTTGAGAATGATATCAGACTTCACCAATCGTGCTCAGGGTATCTGTCATAGCTTAACAGAAGTCTAAGCCCTTCCCTAATTGGGTAGGTTGGGGGAAGTGACAACCTTAAAGGGGCCACTGCTGAGTGTCTTAGTGCAGGGGTTTCCCAACTTTTTTCCCCTGAGGCCCACCTGGGCAGCTGCAGTGGGCACTGTGGCCCTCTGTTAACACGTGTCTGTCAGAGAGAGGGGCACCGCGGGGTCCCTCGCCTCAGCAGGGACCAGGGCCAGCAAGAGGCCAAAGGGGCCACTGCCAGCCCCTGCCAACGCCTTCTGCCTCAGCAGCCTGCTGAGTGCCTTGAGCTCATCACCTGGTAGCCCTGCCCCGTCACCCACCCAACACCCTGTCGTGCCTCACAGGCACCCCCTGCCGGGAATGAGGGAAGAGCTCAGGGACTGCCTGTGTTGGGCAGAGGCAAGAGCTCAGGTTGGGCCCAGCCATTAACTGATGGTCCCGATCACAGCATTGTCCAAGTGGGAACAGAGCAGCACTGCCGAGCCCCAATCCCGGGGGCAGAGGGGAGGGCGAAGGCCTGATTCTCCAGGGGGCCCGACAGTGATGGAGCCATCCAACTGCCCGGGGAGCCGGTCGCCTCTCAGAGCTGGCCCCTTCTCCTCACCCTCCGCCCATCGCCTGGCGGCTCTGCTTTGCCCTCTGCCACCCGCCAGCGGCACTGGGCTCATCCAGACCTGGGCAGGGGCCATCACCAGCCAGCACTCCACCAACGTATACAGTTTGCAGGGCAATGCCCTCCCAAACTCCACCCATGGCAGACTGCCCGGGACTGTCGATGGGCCGCAGCCCACAGTATGGGAACCCCTGTGTTTAGTGGGCAAGTCTAAGGAGAGTTTAAACAAAGTTAGAATCTGGCATTCAGGACCATGCAAGAGCAGTCTGCTTCTCTCAGGTCTTCATTCCCCAGCTAGCTTCATGACACTTGCATTCAGGTCTACTTTGTTCCAGGGAAAGTTGCAGATATTTTCTGCTGAGTAGGGTCCAGGAGAGTATATTGCTGAACAACTAGCTCCTACCAAGATTAAAATTTATCAGTTTATATAAATTAATGGTGGTGTCTGTGAAGTCATTACTGAATTTTCAACAAATACAGGCCAAAATTTTCAAACTTGGGTGCCTAAAGCTAGGCACTTAAATAAGTGCCCGGATTTTCATACATGCTGGGCATCTTTAGAAATAGTCACATATATCATTTTTGTACATATGGATATAGGTTCCTGAATATAGAGTACTGAGTTTTTAAAGGTAGGGGCAGGGCTTTTATTCTTTTACAACTTTCTTCTATGCCACCCGTGTTACACATCATTGTCAATTTGTTAGCATCAAGGTTGCGTCTATCTGGCATGTGATTCTTATGTTGAGGAACACTTAGAAATGAAATGCTATTAAATGTGGTCTTTTTTACTTCTTTCACCTTGCATCTTGTTGGGGTGGAGCAGGTTTCCTCCAATACAGACTCGAGCTCTGAGAATCTCCTCTCCTCACCCCACCCTCTCATATATACCCCACAGTGGTGATTCTCCTCTGCTAGAAAAGGACTAGATCAGTTTCTGACAGAACCTGAAATTTTGCTCCTTGTGTTACCTATGGAGATGGCATCACCTCTTTGGAGCTGCCCACACTCCTCCTTGCACGTAACTTCCAGGACTGGGAGTTCAAGACACACACTTGTTCTACAGTGCACTGAGCTGCAGTGCAGGGGATGCATGTATTGACAATACATGGGAAGAAGATGATTTTGCGAAAAGGCCCTAAATTAAAGACAGCTAGAATCAAGGATTATCATTCTCTACTGAAAGCAAAACCAAACAATGCATTTATAGCAACAAGAGCTGTATGTTTAAGACCTAATTTATTTTATGGATTGCAAATATAATAAGGATTTTTTTACGTGATTGATTCAGAACTGTTTCAACTGATTGCTTGAAAGCCTATTTTTGCTCTCCCTCTAATCTTTACTAAACCAATATCCATTTTTTCTCTCCGTTCAGTATACTTATTTAACTCTTTCGCCCTGCTGTCTGCCCATGCATGTTATGGTAGCAGTTTTAAGAGGCACTGGGTACGTTCAGCCATGCTGAACATAGGCCATTTCCTGAATTTGCATGATGAATCTGGGAACATTATAGGGATTGTCTTGGGTTTTTTTTGTCTGCAAACATATAAATGGGTTCATATAAAACTTTCCCTTATCCAACTTAGGCATATGTAATGCTTTCATCCAATAAAAGTACATGTTGTATTTCTGTTTTAAAATTGACATATGTGACAATTGTAGGGTATTTTTTAAAGGTTTGAGCATATTTTTAAATGTGATTTTAAAAAATGGCAATAATTTTTTTCCCCAAGGAATATTTCCTATCCTTTTTTAAAGGAAAGGCTCTCAATAGGTAAATTTGTATTTTCTTACTCCATCCATGTGATAGGGGTAATTGAGAGATCCTTTTCCTGAAAGCAGAACCACAGCAATTAAGTACTTGACTGAAAGTGTGATATTTCTGTTTTCAGGGAATAGAACAATTGAAAAAGGAAGAGAGAAGATGGGCTAAAAAAACAAAATGGATGAACATGAAAGCAGTATTTGGCCATCCGTTCTCTATAGCATGGCTTAGCCCATTTGCTACTCCAGACCAAGGAAAGGCAGACCCATACCAGTATGTGGTCTGAAGAATTTCCACTAAAATAAAACCACATTTCAGCACTACTGTTATATAATTTTTATATGAATGTTTAAAACAAAACGTAAAACAGAAACTCTTTTTATGTCTATTAAAGGCTGTTCGTTGCAGAGAAAAAAAAAAAGCCCTGTATTCTGCAATTTTAGATAATACTATGTCTCTGGTGGCTGAAGTGTCTTCTTTTTTTCTGATTTTTTTTTTTGTTTTGTTTAACTTGTTAACTTTACTGGCCTTTGTTTCTATCTGCTTCCTGTATGGCATAATTAATGTGAAGGAGACCCTCTTTCTCTGTTGTGCCTGTCTCTGCTAACCGAGTAGACTGTAATGCTGTCTCTAGACTGTGAGGGTATCTGTGTAAGTGCCAACAGTGCCATCTTCCTACACAGACATCTTTGGACCTCCTAATGGTGTGTATAGCTCTGACTGGGCAGTGAGTTTCTTTCATAAAAGAGGACGTTAGCTGAGAAATAGACACTTTGCTTACTGAACATTGAAAGGTAGAAGACGAGGGTGTGATGCTGTGCGAGAGCCAATTAATAATGTGGTCACATGCAGTTAAAGTATTTAAAACAAATGTTGCCAATACCACCTTTTTTGTTTCCAGAAACAAAATTGATTCCATCTTTCTGGCATTCTTTTGTCTGCTCCCTCCCTTGTAAGTAGGAAATGTTTCCCCTCTAGGGGAAAATATGGCAACTTTGGTGGAAGACTCTCAGTTAAATGCCTTACACTTAGAGGAAAAAAGAAATTTCATTTTAAAACTCTTAAGATCATCTTGTTTGTGTATGTCTGTCTTTGATAAATAAGCTGTTGAAGTGATGCCTACTCAACAGTGTGAACATGTAGAACATGACAACTTGCCATAAAAGCGTAGCACTGATGGTTTGTGTAGGTCTACCTGAGCAATTAATTTTCTGTTCTTAGGACCCTCCATCTTTACAACTTTGTAAATCTCTTCTTATGTTTATACATATAAATATTTTAAATTGGGAAATGTCAGTGTTAAGGAGTATGCATGCCTACTGTCATGATTGTGTGGATAGTAAACTATGTGCAGTAAATGGTTGACAGGGGGAGGGACAGAGGGCATTCCATCAAAAACAAATTCAGGTAAAACTAAATCTTATGTGACTGAAACTAATTTTTTTTATATCTGGGCAGGAATTTTATTATATTCTGAATCATTTTGAAAAGGGGCAGTTAGCATAGTGCCAGTGGGACCCATCAATCAATCATAAACAAAGGAAAAATGTAAATAAGCTGTAGCCATGGATTCCGGTGTAACCTTTTCATTTTTTAAAAACACTTTTATTTTGGAAAATGACCTATTAGGCTGAATCGAAGCCATGGGGGAAGAGGGAGGGAAATATGGGGAGGAAAAGGCTAGTGGATCTGTCTCACTTTGAAAGTAACGTGAATGCTGCATCTTTTCAATTCTGTCAATGCTTCCATATGGAAAACAAATGCAATAAAACTTTTCCAAAAATTGTTTCTGCCCCTTTCTTACTCTAAATGTTTGCACAATTTGTAGTGCCTCTTTAAATTTTCATCTTCAGCCAAGCTGGGAGAAGCATGAAGGTTAAGTAACTTTAGTGCTCAGTTTTAAAGTTTAAAAATTAGTTAATCAGTAATGCACTGTTAGCTATTTAACTACTTTTAGGTGGTTAAATTGCTATCATTGACTGCATCCAGAGGGTAAACAGTCCCCATATTTTCCTCTTGCATGCTGAGGAGTAAATCCACAATAGTGTTCATATCATCTCAATTTGTTGCTATAGGAATGCACACAGGATTATATGATCTCATTGTATGCTTCAATAGGAGACATTGGTGGAAGAAAGATGCCTTTAGCATGCACACAGTTCTTAAAAAAAGTCTTTCTGCTCCTGCAACTGTCCCTTATTTTTCTTTATGATCGATCTCTACTGGGAAAGCCATTGTCATGTGTGTGTCTGAAACCCCCAGAATATGTTTACTACTTTAATTCTAATTTGTGGTATGACAGGGGATTTGATTAGTGCTGCTGTCTAGTTAAAAATCATGGGCCAGATCCTCAGCTGGTATAAATTGGCTTAGCCAGTGGGAGCATGGAGGTTTGTTGATTTACACCTGCTGAGACTCTGGCCCTGTAACATTTTAAAAACACAATCAAGTACGTTAATCCAGATTATTAAAACTGAAAATTAAAACACGTATTTTTGCTAAATTAGTTTACCTTTTAACATTTCTCTGACTGGCAAGTTCCAGTTTGAATTCATTTCTGCCTTTCTCATGCATTATAGAAATTATATTTACATGCCACAGCGTTGTTTACATGAGTAACTAAAATGCCAGAACATTTTATTGGACTTAAATTTGGTACACTTTTTTTCTCCCAAATCCAAATGTTGTCAGACAATGGTTATTTTGAGGATAACTGTTGTAATTACATATAATAATTTAAATATTACATTGTATATTTTTTCTAATATAGTACACTTTTCTTTTAAGTGAAATTTCAAAACACCTTTTAGAAATGCCCATGGTTTTCTCTATTTCCAGAACTGTGTGTATATATATATATATCTAACAGTGACCAATGGTCTGTCATTTTACTGGAAACCACTGCTTTAGACCATCCTGACAGCAGCACAGGTGACACCATATTAGACCAGGACACAGAGTTTTAATAGTCCAGTGATCTCCATGTCTTGAATACACATGTTAAATGGATTGCTGGGCACTGCACAATATGATTATCTGATTAACTGCACTCTAATTAGCACAACCTCTTGTTGACCTTGTGTACTGTATGACAGCCTAAATTACTAGATAATGCCTGGGATCTAAAATGTAAAAAAAAAAAAAAATGCTACCGAAAAGTTATAGGGCTGTTACTCCAGTTCACCATAGAAACTGTGAAAAAGGAATTAACACAATGGTGAATCAGGCCTATAGGCTCTGCTGTTTGGGAATCAGTTTAAGCAGTAGAAAAAGAGCTTGGTTTCCCATCTCTTCCCTTCCTCTTACACACACTTGCACTAGTTCTTAAAAATAAATGCCATAAACAGCAGTGAGGATAGTAATGGTTTGGTTCTAACTCTGCAGATAGCTTCCGGGTTTGTTAGCAAACTGCAGAGAACCTAAACCTGCTTCTGTGCTTTAAGCTGAAAAGTGCTTCAAGCTCACCACCCCAATAGCGCAATTGCAGGACGCCGAAGCAGACTTGCTTAGTTTCTCACGGGGACACGAACAATAGTTTTAAATGGGGCTAGAAAGGCATTGCTTTTCTGTGTGACTATTGCCTGTCTCCAGTACTGCTTGACAGAAGAACAGAAGCTGAGCACCATATTCACCAAGCAGCAATAATAGTAATGGTGCCTACGTTTGCAAGGGCTTCACGTTGGAATGTATAATATGTTGTCAAAGCCACACATTTCCTCATCCCTTCTGCAAGCTGTTTAGGCCACGGGCATTCTCAAAAGTCTTTTTTAAAATTCTGGCTTATGGACTTGTGTCAACAAATGGAAAACTTCTCTAAATGAACTCTGAAAAAGGTTCCAGTTTAATGCACAGAATTGCATGGTGCTCTTCCTCTCCTGCCTGCCTATACCAAATCTCTATTTTGAAACTACAACTGCCACTATCTGAAAACCTAGGCAGTAACGCCTCACTTAACGTTGTAGTTATGTTCCTAAAAAATCCGACTTTAAGTGAAACAATGTTAAGAGAATCCAATTTCCCCATAAGAATGAATGTAAATGGGGGGGTTAGGTTCCAGGGAATTTTTTTTTTTGCCGTACAATACAGTACTATAATTGGGAGGTGTCCCCACCTTACCCCACACAGGCACAGCCCACTGGCACTGGAGATGAGGCAGGCAAGGAGGCTGAAGGTGCTGTAGGCTAGGAGAAGCACGTTGTGCAGCAGCAGCAGCAGCTTCCCCTACTCTGCAAGCGCCAGGGGCGGGGAGCTCAACCCTCAGCCTGCCCACACCACCCCCTCCCCCAAGCCCCCACCCTTAACTCACCTCTTCTCCCCCTCCTCCTCCCCCTTTACTCCACACGCTGCATCCTCGCTCTTCCCCCCTCCTGCCCATGGCAATCAGCTGGCTTGCAGCATTCAGGAGGCAGGAGCGAGGACTCGGCGCGCAGGCTCCCCCTCCCTCCCGAACGCCGCAAGCCAGCTGATTGCCGGAGGCAGGGGAGGGAGGGGGGAGGTGCGCCGTGTCCTCGCTCCTCCCCCATCGCTCCTGCCTGCGGCAATCAGCTGGCTTGCGACATTCAGGGGTCCGGAGAAGCAAGGATGCGGCACACCTCCCCCCTCCTTCCCCTGCCTCCTGCTGGTGGCAATCAGCTGGTTTGCGGCATTTGGGAGGCAGGGGAGGGAGGGGGAGCCTGCATACCGAGTCCTCGCTCCTCCCCCCTGAACGCCGCAAGCCAGCTGATTGCCACAGGCAGGGGGAGGGGGAAGGTGCTGATCCGCGGGGTCTGTTGGTGGGCGGGAGGCACTGTTGGGGGGGGTGTAGGGGAGCTAATAGGAGGGCTGCCAGCTGTGGACAAAGCAGGCAGCCAAATGACGTTATAGCGAAGCATTGCACAACTTTCAATGGAGCATATTCTGTAATTGAGCAGGGATGTAAGATCAAAACATTAAGTGGGGAGGTACTGTATCATATTATTTATCAGGCCTACTACTTGTAAAGTGGTGGTTACACTCTGATGATATAAAAGCAAAGCCTGAGATGATTTTTCGGCCAAGTTCTCCTGAAAGAATCTATGGATAATTAGAGAACCAGTAGAATTATAACATCACAATAATGAGAAGAAAGTATTTAGCAGAGTTCTGAGAGAAGATCTTTAATAAAGACCCAATATCTTTCATTAAGGATGGGGGAAGTTCTTACTCTAGATTTATTATTTGTTTCAGTAAACCTACGCTGCCCATTTATGGACCAGAGCCCTGTTGTGATAGGCACTAAACAAACACACAACAAAAAGACAGTTTGTGGCCCAAAGAACTCACAATTTAAGGCTATGTCTACACTAGAGAGCTTACAGCGGTACAGCAGTACTGCTGCAGCTGCGCCACTGTAAAGTCTCCTGTGTAGCCACTCCATGCCGATGGGAGAGTGCTCAAAAAATTAAGAATCTTTTACTGCAAGAATGGCATCGACAATTGTTCTCCTCTGAAGATTTGTGTGTACGCGCACCAAACTTGGAAACTGAATTCAATCAGTAAAATATAAAACAAAACATTTTGCCCTGCCTTAAACGGAGATTGCAACACAGTCAGTACTATGGATATAGATATTATGTATGCATATGCATGCGCCCCCCCTATAGTAATGGGTGCTGATAATGGCCAGTAATAAATTATAAAAATCTCTTCTTTTTCGTCTACAGGGTATCGAGCGCCTTAAGAATCAGACGCCTACTTGGGAAAAAGTCAGAAGCTGGGAAGGGATGAAACTGGCTTTTGGTGGCGATTTCTCCCTGAGCTGGTTCAATCCTTTTTCAGGCCTGAGTTGCAAAAAGGCTCCACCCTCTGGGGTGGCAGCAGTTCCTCCACCTGAAATAGTGACTGAAGAGGCTCTTGAGCAATTCTTGGAACAAGAGG